CGACTTTCCCCCCCCCCCCCCCCCCCTCCCCCCGCCTGTGCAGCATGAGGACCTAACTTCACCTAACTTGATTGTATCCAAATGCCTTGCTATCGTAGCTTGTCCCTGATCCACTTTTGTTCTCACGTTGTTTCCAAGTACTCATCTTCATCCTACATCCTGGCATACTTACATTAAAATGACATGCGCCATCCGCATGCTGCCAGGTAGTACAATTCTACACTGTTCTTCTTTCCTTTCCTCCTCCTCTTGTTTACACGAATGCTCCTCAAAAAAGATTACTATTCGGCTACATGTGAACTCACTGTTGCAACCACCCTTGCGACACCCTCTGTGTAGCCCTAGGGTACACCTGATCTCCAGGGGTTTTCATGCTTCTGTTCGACTTTTCTCGTCCTTGCATTACGTTTGCACTGCCTCACTGCTTCCCTTGTTTCCCTCATTCACCTCTACCCTCGTCCTTCACTCCTCCTCTTCAGTGTTGCAACTTTTCTCTGCACCTTCCTCCTTCGCTTCGCTCCCTTCAACACATCGTGCCGACCATCTCCCGCACCCGCTCCCTCTTCGCCGTCTCTGTTTCCCCTCGTTCACGTTCGCATCTCATCTTGCGTACTGGGAGTTCGGACTACATTGAGCCCTGCCACCCTACCCCAATATGTAACCCACCACCCCTGTATTTCAGAATACCCTCGAACCACAACTGTTTCATTTCTGACTACCCCATTTTTCTCTGTCCACTACCCCTGTTCAGACCAGGCTTCCAGCAAGGCTTCACAGCCCACCCACTAAAGAGTGTCTACCACCCCATCGTTCCTCTGCTGAATCTCCCCCACCCCTCGTTATCTCATCCTTGCATTTCCGATCCCCAACTTCACCCACCCTACCCTAGCTAAGCTTGTACTTCACCCCTACCCCCTCAATCCCAGATCACTACCCCCAGGATGTTCTGAATACCCCCTTCAACTGATGTTCCTCTGTAAGGGTACCCCTACCATCTCCTTATGTCTAGTGAGCTATTCCTCGAAACACCTTGATGACCCCACCCCACCTCTCCTTTCCTTTCCACCTGTACACCTGGATACCCCTACCCCCCAGATAACATGTATAGGTACCGGTATCTGGAGAACCTCAATGGACAACCCCTACCCATATTTTTGCATATTAAAGGACGGGTCTGTATGGCTCTGACCCGAAGTCACTCAGTCACTCCAGGCCATCGGGCCGACAGCGGCTGCGCCGGTTGAAATTTGAGGCCAAACTTCAGATTCTATAGCCATATTTGAAATTTTGATTAATATTTTCAGTATTTCTAACTCCCATTTCATATTCAATATTGAAGATACAATGAGAATATAAGGCTTCAAATTTCAAATATTAAACCAATAATTCTGAAATTGTCCTTCGCAACCCTTCGCTTGATGGCGAAATGTGATTTCTGGCTAGGGAACAAGAACTGATGGAAGGGAGGGGAGGACATTACAGTACAGTACAGGACAGGACAGGACAGGACAGGACAGGAGAGGACAGGACAGGACAGGACAGGACGGAAGAGGAGAGGAGAGGAGAGGAGGAAGAAAGGGAGGGAGGAAATGGAGAAAGGAAGTAGAAGGTTAGGAACATAAGGCAAACTAGTTGATGAATGGAACAACAAGAAAGGCGAGGAGATGGCTGGACTGTCCGGGTCTATCAAGAGGGATGGATAGGAAGGTTCATGACAACAGAACTGCGAGGCGCTAGAGGAGGAGTCATTACAGATTAGACTCATGGCGCTTATTATCAGGAGCCGAGTCAGGTGTTAGCCAAGAATGGTAGAAAACGATAGAATGCTAATGCCCCCCGCCCCTGTTGTCTGCTCATATAAGTGAGGGTCGCTCACGCCTTTGTAGGCAGGAGCCGTTGAACAGCAGGAGACATCAGGTAGAGGCTTCACTTGGCTGACATAACCGAGCCCCCTCTCACCATGAGCTCTGAAACCGAACCCATGCTGGGATCCAGTGGGTCGAGGAAGGTGGAGCGTCCACAGAACTGGAAGGACGCAACCAACTCGGGATGGCAAGCGCCGGTGTATGAGAGCGAGACCGTCCGCAAGCAGGTGCAGAAGGACTTCTTGATCAAGGTGTACAGCATCTTGTGCGCACAGCTCCTTGTCACCACCCTCATCTGCGCTCTCTTCGTGTTCGCGGAGCCAGTGACTTACTTTGTGCTGGGGAACATCTGGCTGACGCTCCTGCTCTTCATCGTCAACCTTTTCGTCATCATCGCGCTGTGGTTCCTCAAGAACACCTATCCTTGGAACTACATCCTCCTCGGTGTCTTCACCCTGTCCATGGGCTTCATGGTGGGGGTGACCTGCGCTGCCTACACGGTCAACGGGATGGGATACAACATCGCGTTCGCGGCCTTGCTGACGCTCGTGATCTTCGTGTCCTTGACTGTGTTCGTTTCTGTCTCGGACATCGACTTCAGCTTCCTTGGACTGTTCCTTCCTGTTTGCTTGATCGTCCTCCTGGTCTGGTCCTTGTTCGCCATTATCTTCGGCTTCCAGTATGTCTCCTCCTCCACCTCTACCACCACCACCTCCTCCTCCTCCTCCTCCTCCTCTTCCTTACCTCCTCCGTCTTCTCTTTATCCTCGTCCTTGCCCCTTCTTCCTCTGCTTTTCTCTCCCCTCCTTTCCTTTCACGTACCTTCCCTTACCTCTAGTCTCCTCCTTGCTGCTCCCTCCCTCCCCCCCTCTTACTCTCCCCTCCTCTTGCTCATGCTCCCTTCCTCAGGTTGGGGATGCTTTTCGGCGCTATCGGGGCGCTACTGTTTTCCGGCTTCATCATTTACGACACGTGGATGATCATGAACAAGATGGGATGCGACGACTATATCATCGCCTCCATCGAGCTCTACCTCGACGTGATCAACCTCTTCAGCATGCTGCTCTTGGTGATGGGAGGCGGCGACAGCTGAGGAGGAAGGGTGCAGGAGGAGGAGGAGGAGGAGGAGGAGGAGGAGGAGGAGGAGAAGCGGCGGGCGGGTAACGGCAGGGCGAGGACGCTGCTGTGGACGAGTTCTAGTTTACAGGAAGAAACTTTTGGTGAAGTAAAGGAGGATTGCAAGAAGAGCTATGACGGAGGAGAGGACGACGAGGCTGTTCCCTCCCCCACCCTTCATCTCCTGCCCAGTCGGCACAACCTCCCCCTTCATCGCTTCCGTAGCTGCCTGTTGAAACCTCATTCGCTCTTCCATGCAGGAGGTGAGCAGTACCGCTGATGGAGAGGACTTGCTCTTCTTCTTCTTCTCCTTCCTCACTTTCGATGACTGCATCCTCGTCACTTCTCCCTCCCTCTCTCCTCTTCCTTCAACCCCCCCCCCCTTCCTCTCCCTGCTGACTTTCCCTCCCTCTTCTCTTCACATTTGTCTTTACCTTCTCTACCGCCGTCATGTTCGCCTCTGGCCTGAGGAGAACAAATGAGCAACAACAAAAATAGATTGGGACAATCTGCAGCAGACTGCACGGGAAAGGGGAAGCAGAGGAGATAGGAGGTGGGGATGATGATGATGATGATGATGATGATGATGATGATGATGATGATGAGGAGGAGGAGGAGGAGGAGGTAGTGGTGGTGGTGGTGGAAGAGACGTACTTGTCCAGCACTTCAAGTAGGGTGACCCATCCGTCCATCGACCCCATTGCTACGAACTTGCCGCGCACATGCAGGCAGGAAGCAGCATCCGCATCCTCAGGCACCACATGATACAGAAGCTCTTTCGTCACCTGTGTGATTTCTCCTCACCTCCCAACCAACATCCACCCTTTCCGCTCTTCTCCTCCTCCCTCCTGCTCCTTCTCCTGCTCCTGCTCCTGCTCCTGCTCCTGCTCCTGCTCCTGCTCCTCCATGCCCTGCGTCTGCCTTCCTACTTACACCTCTTCCTCCTCCCTTCCTCCTCCCTTCCTTCCCCAGCACAACTTGCTCCCCTCCCCTGCTCTCTCTGCCTCTTTCTGCTCCACAGCCTCCCTCTACCCCTTTCTGATCCTTCTTACCCAAAGTCTGACGGCGATGGTAGCCGAGCCATCATGTCTCAGCGCCGTGCTGAGCAGAAGATTGCCTGCGAAACTTCAGCAACCCAGAGTCTTCCTACATCCTCCTCCTCCTCCTTCTCACCTTCCTGCTGCAGACAACATCGCGCCTCTGCTTCTTCCGAGCCTTTACAGTCAGTGAAAGATGCAGAAGGCTTCTTGCATAGGCCAGCTTGTGCTTGCGACAGGTCCCAAACCTGACAAAGATAAAGAGGGTGAGAAAAGAAATGAATATGAGGAGAGAATTGTGAGGCGATGGTGGGGAAAACAACACGAAGGAGAAGGGGAATGACGAGTTTGATCAATATGATGATCACAATGATAATTGAAGGGTAAAAATGCAGAAAGAGAAGAAAGAGCGGAAGATGTGGAGGGAGGAGGACGACAAGGGAGTTGGAGGAACGATTGACGGAGGAGGAGGAGGAGGAGGAGGAGGAGGAGGAGGAGCTTTACAAGACTCCGTCTCACCATGAGAGTCGCTGGGTCATGACCAGTGATGAGATGTCCGGGGCCGTTGGGGTCAGAGATGAGGCAGGAGGAGCGAACCTACAAGTTGCCTCATGCGATGGGAGGGAGGGAGGGAGGGAGGGGAGGGAGGGAGGGAGGGGGGAGGGGGGGGGGGTAGGACGGAACGGAGGGA